GCCCGGACACGTGACCGTCCCTGCTTCCGGCCCACGAGGGGGGAGACGCTGCGCTGGGGGGCGGGGGCAGGGCCAGGAGGGGCCCGGGGGCCTAGCTGACCCGGGGCCGGCAGACAGCGGCGAGGGAGAGTGGACGGGGCCGGCCCTCAGCCCCGACACGTGACCGTCCCTGCTTCCGGCCCACGAGGGGGGAGACGCTGCGCTGGGGGGCGGGGGCAGGGCCAGGAGGGGCCCGGGGGCCTAGATGAGGGCGGTGACGTGGTGGCCGCCGGGCTCATCCAGGTACAGGGTGCTGAAGACGTCGTTGAAGAAGTCGGGGTGGTACTTGCAGGCCCGCTCGCAGTCGGGGTTGAAGTTCACCTCCAGGATCTGGGGCTGCACGGCCGGGGTCCCTGTGGGCGCAGCAGGGGCTGAGGGCCGGCCGGTGGGGGGCCTCCGCGTGATGCGAGCCCCCCGGGCACGGTGTGTACTTTAGTGGAAAAGCGAGGGCAGAGCTGCGGGGCCCAGAGGGGGTGGCCTGGGGCCCCAGCAGGGTGACCCCGCCCCGGCCCTCACGGTGCCTTGGTGATGCTGGGCCCCACCACACTCTCGCGCCCCCGGTCTCACTCTGCTGGGGCCCGACCCAGTGGGCGCCGGCCGGGAGGCAGCGGCACCCCCCTCGGGGGGGGCGGACTCACCGTCTAGACGGCTGGCCCACTTGAGCATGAGGTCCACGGCGTACACGGCCCGGGACGAGGGGTAGTGACAGAGGCCCAGCGGCGGCGGCCGGGCGCAAGCCGCCTGGAATAGCTCCCGGAAGGCCTGGAAGATCTCCGCCTGGGGGCAGGCAGTGTCCCGAGCCGGCCTCGACGCCCACGGGGCGCTAAGCGCCCCTCCCGAGCACCCCGCAGGCCAGAGTGGGGATGGGGCCCCGCCCACCTGGCCTCTGGGCCGCCAGTGGCCCTGCGGGGACACGGGGCCCGCCCCCACCTCCTGCTGGGGGGCCTCCCGCTCTGCCCAGGACTCACCTGGACGCCACTCCAGGGAAACTCGGGGTACTGCCTCTC